GCGGGAGGTGGGCCCCTCGTAGAACACAATTCAGGGGTGAGAAAAAATCCCGCCGCCATCACGTTCAAGGCGAGGCCCCGCAGGATCGCCCCATTGACTTGCACGCTCCGGTGCAAAGGGCTCAATGGCGTAAGCCTGTGGGGCCTCGCCCTGAACACAGCATTGGGAAAGGAGAGCAAACCAGAGTGGTTTTGTTCTCCTTTTCAAACATCCCGCTGCCGATGCATTCGGGGTGAGGCCCCGCGGGATCATCCTCCTCTCTTTCTCTCTTCCTTCTCTCTTTCTTTTCTCTCTCTCTCTTTCCCTCTCCCAGGTTCACCCCATTGATTTGGTGCACCACTCCACTCAGACTTGCTTGGGCAGGTCCCTCCAGTGCAGCGGGCTCCATGGGGTGGACCTGTGGGACCGGCACCTAGAATGCGGCATGAGTGGCACGTTTGAAAAGTAGAGCAAAGCCAGAGGTTGGTAATTTTTGCTACAAAGAATCGCAAAAGCTTCTGGGCTGTGCACAAGAAGGGACACACATGTCAATGCAATTCAGCAACATAAATTAAAGAAATATAAATAAAACAAATCAACAAGAATCAGCAAAGCATCTCTGATTAGATTCTATTCACCACTAGAATTGATTACTAGAATCTAATCAGAGCTGCTTTGCCGATTCTAGTCCAATGACCTGCTCCAGCAGGGTTAGAAGGGAGTATGTGTGTGTGCATGGCTGTCAAAACTCCAAAAACAGGTCAAGTAGTTCTGGGGAGGCCAATCATAAGCAACTGGCCATTAAGTGAGGACCACTTGTATTTGGTTTGCCAGTCATCAAACCACGCCCACCCAGTCACGTGACCAGCAAGCCACGCCCACCCAGTCGCGTGGCCAGCAAACCACACTCTCAAATTAGGCCACGCCCACAGAAATTTGAATCCCACCCCCTGGGTGGGGGGCATTGAGGATGAGTTTGTAGCACCAAGGGGATGGTCGACTGAAAAGGTTTGGGAGCCACTGATTTATAGTATCCTATGAAATCTGGAAACCAGAAACACACATGTGAGAAAATGTCTACAGAGCCTTT